TATTCCAATCTTTTGTCCATTTTACAGAGGTTGTCCCCTTACATTCACCTTGTATCCTGCAACCTTGAACTTACCTTTGACATATGTGGCTTCCTGAACACTTGATGCATAAAAATCATGAAGCATTAATTCCTTTCCAATCCGGATACCTTTTTCTTTTCCCTTGCCTATGTGGCCTGACTGGAACTTCTAGTAAATATGGGATAGAAGTGGCAAGGCAGACATCTTCTGGGAAAAGCATCTCAAATGCAATGAAGTTCTCTTCTGTTCCTAGTTTATTATAAAATGGTGTCATATTTTGTAAAATGATCTTTTGGTTTTTAGAGGATCATGTGGGTTTTTTCTTTGTGTTAATATGGTATAGACTGATTGAGGTCCCCTGTCAAACCCTGCCCAGCTGGGCTTGCGTGGCCCCAGGTCCCGGGGTGGGGGGCATCGCCTAAGGTCTCCTCAGCCTGATGCCAGGGCAGGGTCTCAGCCTGGGGTCTCCTGTCAAGCCCTGCTGGGTGAGAGATGCAGCCTGTGGTCTCACCAAGCCCCCCGGGAGCAGGGGAGGGCCTAGCCTCAAGTCCCTGTTGAGTGCTCGTTAAGGCTCCTTATGAGAACTTGGCCTCAGCTGTGGGGGCAGCCATCTTTGTGATCAAGTGATAGGCAATTAGCATATTCCCTCTTTATTACATAGGATTTCTCAGTAACCCTACAGGCCAGGTGAGTAGAATGATATATTCAAAAATTTGAAAGAAACTACCACCAAGATTATATCCATCAAATTATCCATGATGAGTAAAGATATAATACATATGTAATGGAATATTGCTCCTCCCTGAAAAATGAAACATAGCTATTTGCAGCAATATTAATGGACCTTTTCTAAAATGTATTTCGTTAAATGAAAAAAGTCAAAGGAAGACGAATATCATTTGATTTCACACATATGGAATCTAAAAAAAGAAGAAAAGAAGCAAAATAAAACAGCACAAGCTCATGTTTATTTAGCAGGGAGGAGGGTCACGGTTGGGCAGAAAAAAGAAATTAAGGAATACAAACTTTCAGGAACCCAATTGTCACACCACACAGAAGTAAACATTCAGTCTTCATATCACAAAATTACATAATATGTAACTTTACATATTCCTTTTGTCACAGAACAGCATGTTTCTATCACTGCATATTCTTTAAAGCAGGTTTTTATAACTTTTATAATAAAATACTGTTGGTGGAGAACATTAGAAAATACAGATAAGCACTAGGAAACAAAAATTGTCCAACCTCACAACCCAAAGACAATACAGCTTCTACTCACACATCTTCCCAGCGCCTTTCTACCAAAGGACTCCTACTGCAGATTTCAAACATGGCTTTCAACTGCTAAGTGTCCCTTGGTTGGCTGTGCTATGGTCATCCCCTCATTATTCAACATTTAGATGTTTGCATTGATTTATGTATTAAATAGCCATTAATTCTGGAACACAAGGACAGGTTTGTAATACAATGAGATGTTAAATTTATTTTGAAAGAGAGAAAGAGGAAGGAAGAGGGGGAGGGAGGGGAGGCTAATGTGAGCCAATGTCCCTGAGAAGCCATCTTGGTCATTATTCCTGGTCTAGAACAGAAACATGAACCACTAAAGTTCTGGGTGAAAAGTGAAGCATCAAACCTGTGTGCATTCGAGTTCAGCCCAACTCCTCCAGCCTTTGGCATGTCAGTCTTCTCTCCTCTTCTCCCAGAGGAACTTATTTTAAATTGCCTTTCTAAATCTTTTTCAGACTGGAAGACTACCTGAAGAATCATTCCAAAACCCAAGGGTAGAGATACCCTCAGTGGAATCAGATCACAGGAACTGTGGACAGGAAAGAGCTTCCATCTGCGACCAGTCCTTTCTCCACAACAGAGAGTTCCTCAAGAAGTGACACTCCATAAACGTGAAATACAAATGAAGAGCCTCAGGAGGAATTCAGACATAACTGAGTCTCACAGAGAACAGGATGGAGGATTCGGAACCAGAACGGATGCGGGCTTGAACTGACAACGTGACTGCCTCCAGAAGCAGTTCCAAGACGGAGGAAGAGGTCGACGAGGACTCTGTGCCCTACATGCCATTGCGACAGCGTCAACAGCTGCTGCTCCAGAAGCTGCTCCCGCGAAGTCTCAAGGGAGCTGCAGTGGAGGAGCAGCAGGACAGCAGCAGTGACCATAGGGGAGATGAGGACAACATTCCTATGGGCCCTCAGGCCAATGTCAGCCTCCTGGATCAACACCAGCACCTCAAGGAGCAGGCTGAAGCCCACAAGGAATCTGCCAAGGAAAAGCAACTGAAGGAAGAGAAGATGATCCTGGAGAATGTGGCTGAGGGCCAAGCCTTGACGTCAGTGAAGGAAATGGCCAAAGGAATCACATATGAGGACCCAATCAAAACCAGCTGGACACCTCCCCGTTACGTCCTGAGCATGTCTGAAGAGAGGCATGAACGTGTGAGGAAAAAATGCCACATCCTGGTGGAAGGAGATGGTGTCCCACCACCCACAAGAGCTTCAAGGAAATGAAACTGCCTGCAGCCATCCTGAGAGGCCTGAAGGAGAAAGGCTCCACCACCCGGCGCCCATTCAGATCCAGGGCAAACCCACCATTCTCTCTGGCCAGGACATGATGGGCATCGCCTTCACGGGTTCAGGCAAGACGCTGGTGTTCACTCTGCCCGTCGTCATGTTCTGCCTGGAACAAGAAAAGAGATTCCCTGTCTCCAAGGGTGAAGGGCCCTATGGACTCATTATCTGTCCCTCGAGAGAGCCGGCCCGGCAGACCCACGGCATCCTGGAGTATTATTGCCGCTTGCTGCATGAGGACAGCTTGCCACTTCTGCGTTGTGCCCTTTGCATCGGGGGCACATCCGTCAGAGCAGATGGAGACCGTCCAACATGGTGTGCACGTGATTGTGGCCACCCCTGGGCACCTTATGGATCTGCTGCAAAAGAAGATGGTCAGCCTAGACATCTGTCGCTCCCTGGCCCTAGACGAGGCTGACCGCATGATTAACATGGGTTTCAAGGGTGACATCCGCACCATCTTCTCCTGCTTCAAGGGCCAGCAACAGACCCTACTCTTCAGCGCCACCATGCCTAAGAAGATACGGAGCTTTGCCAAGAGTGCCCTGGTGAAGCCTGTCACTATCAATGTGGGCCGTGCTGGGGCCGCCAGTCTAGATGTCATACAGGAGGTGGGATATGTGAAGGAGGAGGCCAAGATGGTGTATCTGCTCGACTGCCTGCAAAGACAACCCCACCCGTGCTCATCTTTGCAGAGAAGAAAGCAGAAGTGGATGCCATTCATGAGTACCTGCTGCTCAAAGGGGTCGAAGCTATGGCCATCCATGGGGGCAAAGACCAGGAGGAACAGATCAAGGCCATTGAGGCATTCCGTGAGGCCAAGAAGGATGTTCTAGTGGCCACAGACATGGCCTGCAAGGGGCTGGACTTTCCTGCCATCCAGCACGTCATCAATTATGACATGCCCAAGGAGATCGAGAACTACGTGCACAGCATAGGCTGCACTGTGCGCTCAGGAAACACAGGCATCCCACCATCTTCATCAACAAGGCCTGCGATGACTCGGTGCTGATGGACCTCAAAGCCCTGCTGCTGGAGGCCAAGCAGAAGGTGCCACCTGTGCTGAAGTGCTGCACTGTGGGGCGAGTCCATGCTGGAGACTGAAGGAGAACGAGGCTGTGCTTTCTGTGGGGGCCTGGGCCATCGCATCGCCCTCTGCCCCAAACTTGAGGCCATGCAGGCCAAACAGGTAGACAACATCAACCACAAGGACTGCCTGGCCCACAGCTCCATGGACTGCTAGCCATCTGGTCTGTCAGCCCTCTCCAGGAGCCCTCAGTCTCTGGGTTCATGTTGCCTCCCACACACAGGCCCCTGGACAAGAAGCCAGTTTCCTCGGCCCCGCTGCCTGCCCTCTATGCCTCTGGAATTGCTATTATTGCCCCCCTTATCCCACTTGCCATTAAAGCACAAGCCTCTCTAGTCTCAATGAATAAATAAATAAGAGCCACACTGGAGAGAAGCCCTATGAGTGCAATGAGTGTGGGAAAGCCTTCAGCCAGAGCTCCTCTCTCATTCAGCACCAGATTCACACTGGAGAGAAACCTGTGGAAGAGCCTTCAGCCAGAATGCAAACCTCACAAAACACCAACGAACTCACACTGGAGAAAAGCCCTACAAATGCACTAAGTGGGAGAAAGCCTTCAGTGACTGTTCAACCCTGTTCAGCATCAGAGAATTCACACTAGAGATGAACCCTACAAATGCAGCATCTGTGGGAAGGCCTTCCTTCACAGCACCAACCTCACAACCTGAGAACTCACATAGGGGAGAAGCCCTACAAGTGCAGCGAGTGGAGGAAGGCCTTCAATTACTGTGCCACGTTTATACAGTACCAGAGGCTCCACAGAGGAGAGAAAGCTTACTAATGCAACACCCGTGGGAAGGCCTTCAGCCAGAGAACCAACCTCACAAACCACCAGAGGACATACTCTGGAGAGAAACCCTACAAGTGCAGTGAGTGTGGGAAGGCCTTCAGCCAAAGTACAAATCTCATAACCCACCAAAAGACCGAAACTCTGGAGAAGCCATACAAATGTAACGAATGTAGGAAATTTCTCCCTGAGAGCTCAACCCTCATTAGACATCATGGAATTCACACTGGAGAGAAACCCTAACAATGCAATGTGTAGCAAACCATTTAACCAGGGTTCATGCCTTAGCATCAGAGAATTCATACTGGTGTGACGCCCCACCAATGTGGAGGGTGGGAAGGCCTTCAGGTGTAGGTCAGCTTTCATTAGACACCAGAGCCTCCGTGCTAGAGTAACTGCAAACATGACCAGTGTGGATGGGGACCTGATGGTTAGAAAGCCTCTGGAAACATGCTTTTGTACCTTTAATAAAATGACTAATGTGGAAGGTCTCAGAGCCTTTTTCTCTTTAACATCATCTGTCAACCATATGACCCAACTCAAATTACTAGTTACTTATATTCAGTGGGCCTGAGTGCTTTTTTGTGTACCAAGCACTCCAGGAACCTTGGTTTATAAAGGTATGATCAAATCAATGGAAGACCTGGTTCCTACTTACAGTAAATGCTGGGTATTACAGCAATGGTTATCCCTCCTTGAATGATTTGCAAGAAACCAAAAGAACCAAGAATTCTGGCCAGGAAAGAGCATTTCTCTATAATGCTGTCAAAGTATCTGATTTGAGGAAGTAAATTCAAGTAAGGAAATTTAATGCTACAATTTCATTAAGGGTAGGTGATGAAGGTTTCATGCCTTAATGCCAAATATATGTAAACCTGCAGCCCTGGCTGGTTTTGCCCAGTGGATCGTGTGTCAGCCTGTGGGCTGAATGGTCCCAGGATAGATTCCGGTCAAGGGCACATGCCCAAATTGTGGGCTCATTCCCCAATGGGGGGCATGTAGGAGGCAGCCAGTCAATGATTCCCATCAGTGATGTTTCTCTTTCTACCTGTCCCTCTCTGAAATCAGTTTTATATATATATATATATATATATATATATATATATATATATATATATATATATATATATACACACACACATACACACACACACACAAAACAAAAATCAAAAACCTACACCCAGGTGCAACTTAAGTAACTCTGCTATTCCCAATGTCCACTCTAGGAACTAACCTAGTGCTTGTCTTGGCTGTTAAGCCTTGGAAAGATAGAAGCTGAAGCTGTCTGGGGGCTAAGTTACTGAAATCTCTCCATGAGGCACCCTCTCACAGGGAGGGAGGGACAACCTGAAGCCATGCTCTCCCTGGGGCAGAGGCAGGTGGCTTAGCCCTGCTTTCCCCACTGGAGGACAGTTTCCTTTGCTTTTCCACTTTGCACTCACCTGGGTCCTATTGCCGCCAGGTATACCAACTGGTGTGACCTCATCTCAGCAGCTACAAACCAGTGTGCTCCCTGGTTTCTGGTTAGGTATGTGTTTGACTTCGGGGACAGATTTCCCAGGCCTGGCTGCCTGCTATAAGGGAAGCTTGTGTCAACTATTCTCACCCCTTATTGTCCCTCACCTCCCACTAAAGATAGTGTCTTCTCCAACCCCGATTGCACCTGGAGGGACTAAAAACCACCTGCTAAAGGGCTGCTGACAAAAGCTCTTGAGTTAATCATTCCCAAATGGTGTTTCAAGCTACTCAAGTGTAGCTTCTCTCAGTGCCCAGGTGGCCATGCATTGCACGACTATTAAAGGAAAAGTGAGTGATAAGCTCTAAAGGTCATTAAAAGAAACCAAGGGATGATGAGGAAAAAGGTGAAAACAGATTATCATCTGTTACGGCTTAAAGCCAAGGGACTGTCAGGACTAGGCTGTAGCTAAACTTTAGAAGTATACTTGACCCTCACTTTCACAGAAACTCAGATCAATCAAGGACACAGGTCAGGTTTCTTAGTTAACCAAGCAGTTAACCCCAGCTGTGTGCTAGAATGGATACTGAAGTCTTGAATTGCAGGCCCTGGGCCCCAGCCCACCAAATGACTTGGTCTATGATGAAGAACTCATCACCCTGTAGTTAGGCTGCACTACAAGCTTTCCTTCTGGCCAAGAACTATTTCTTATGAAGAGCTCCCGGATGGTCTACAGAAATGCTGAGACGTCTTTCATGAGAGCTGCAGGCACAGAGGCAGAAACCCGCTACTGCTGAGATCACAGACACCCAGATTGGTGCTTCCACAGGCTCCCCACTTGGTCCCGCTAACCACCTGACACAAAGAACCCAGCTCCCCAAGGAGGAGGACACAAAAAAGTCACTGCTTGTCAAATGATCTGAGTCCTTTTCCTTTGTAGTTCTTAAGTCTGTAGGAAAGAAGAAAGAAATCCGATCAGTGATATGGAAAAAAGTCTCCTCAACCCCACTACTGACCAATTCTAAAACTCTCCAGCTCTCCGCTGATTGATTTTAAGCAAACAAACTACAGAAGTCACTTACAGCGGGACATTCCACTGCACCACTGTTGATATCATCTATGATGTCATGAGGGTGGCGGCCATCAACATTGCACCCCACAGACTGGGCAGTCCCCAGGATCTCTTTAATGGTTCCTACAATTAAAGAAAATGTGACATTAGGTGGGAAACGCCAGCCCCTCACAATCCTCACACACCGCTGGGAACACCCATTTGAGTTCCACAGCAGACAGTGTCATAAAATATCAGAAATAAACTCCCCGGCCCTCCTACCTGAGAGCTCTCATTTAGCTACGCAAGGCCTGAATGCCAAGTCTCCATGGGACCCTTGATTAAATACATCTGGACCCAGATTAAATACATCTGGTCCCAAATTACCTTGATTAAGCCACATTTTTCAAACCCAGAAAAGACTATGCCCCAAATGTTGGGTCTTAAAGAACCGTTTCCTTTAAAATAGGAAAAAGCTGCCACTCGGTGAATATGCCCCATGTCACTAGGTGGTTCCATGTCGTCCTGCTCTTACCAGAGAGTTCTCTGGCTAAAGATCGGTGTCGCATCTGCCGGGCAATGCTGACAATCTCATCGAATGTGATGTTTCCACTGTGCTTAACTGCAGAGAAAAGAAAACACGGCAAAAGCTTTGTCACACCCAAAGCCAGGCCAGACCACAGTGGCCTCCCTCAGCCATTTCCTGGTTGTCCCCATGCTTTTGGCTCAGAGTCATCCACATGAAGAATAACCCTGTTTGCTAAGCTGGGGGTTCCTTTCAGCTCACCACTGGAATGCACCAGCCAACAGGGGAGTGGTCAGGTGCAGTGGCGGGTGGCTAATGGCAAAACCAAATCTGTACCCATCTTCACGTGTGCCTGTTTCAGTGACTGGGGTTCATCCATTCAGGGGGTCACCCAGCTGAGAAGCGCTCTCGTAATTCATCCTTCTCCGTTGTTTCATCACGAATGGCACTTCATGATACTGCCTGCCTAGGAGGCAACCAATTGGTGTGCTTCTCTCACACTGATGTTGTCTTCTTTAAAAGATCGGCCCTCAGTGCAAAGGACAACCGCAGAGCTCCGGGCCACATTGCACAGCAACAATAGCGGGCCAGCCGGGACAGAGGCTGCATCTGCAAGCCGTTCCCTCCCCCTCTCACCTTCCTCCAGCTTGTGGGTGTCACCAGACACAGCGCCTCCCAGCAGTTCTCTGGGCGCCGGCCCGCTCTGCAGGGTCAGGGTTAGGGGTTCCGCCTTCAGGCCTTCCCTCCAGGCCGGTCAGAGCCTGCGGAGCTGGGCTCCGGGCTCGGTGGGGGCTGTGCAGCCGGGTCTGTCACTGCCTCCCAGCCACAGCAAGGCCTCGGCTAGGGAGCCAGAGGCGCAGCCAACAACTTGCTCTCAGACAAACCACGGCTGAAAAGGTCGCAGGCAGGTAACCAGGGGTGCGGGATCCCACTGAGAAACCGTGGCTTCTGCCCAAAGCCAGGTCCTCTTCTCGCGAGAGAGCACACAGGCAATAATCATCACTTCCGGTCATGCGCGTTGGCCTTCCAGCCCCTCTAGCCTCTATTCCCCCCCACCCCCCCACCCCACCCCCGAAATCTCTGTGCTCTCTTCCGGCCCAAGGCCTGTTCTCTGGGTGCCAGCTTTCTGCCCGCACAGCCTCCTGGTCGTGCTGCCTAGCGAGGCTTCTGCCAGTTCTCGCTCCCAGAATCCATTTCCCATCATGAATCCAAGGCCCGGGGCCTCTGAGACAGGAAGCGGCTTGGCGCTAAGCATCCTGGGAGTCGTCCCTGCGCAGATAACAGATCACTGGCTCTGGACTCCTGCTTTTTCAGGGGCCACGTCCCCGGAGCAGCTGGTGAAGAGGCTCTTCTCCTTCCCGGACCTTCAGCTCAGGCCCAGCTCCAGACACCTTCACGGTCCTCTTGAGCCTCTCAGTGTGAACGGGGCTGCCACCGCTTGGGGACCTGGAATTCTCCGAGTATAAAATCCATGGGCAGGAGGGAACCTCTTCAGTCATTTCAGGGGCAGAAACACACTTAGTGTTTGATCAGCACTGTTGGCAAAAGGAGATTCCTGAACTTCCTGTCCCTTGGAGGATTCCCTGCTGAGTCAGGGGATATTTCAGTGGACTTCCTCAGAGCATTGATGACAATTCTTCACCACCCAAGCAATTCTTCGATTTAATTTTAGAGGCATTTTGAGAATAAGAAGATGGGGATGGGTTACCTGGGAAGCAGAAATGAGTGTAGGGTAAGGTGACCAGATGTCCCACTTTTGGCAGGACAGTCCAGATTTTTAACCATTTGTCTTGAGTCCCGCAGGACTTTTTTAAAACACCGCGGGACGTGGGACAAATTGTTAAAAATCGGGACTGTCCCGCCAAAAGCGGGACATCTCCTCACCTTAGCGTAGGGGTCCTAGGGCCTCTTTCCACCTTGTACTGTCTCGGTCCCCTTACAGTCACCACTGGTAGCGTTTTTGCCAACATAACCCTCTTAACTTGGTTTGTCCTCTATGAATCTGACTGGATTAACTCCATCAGACAAGTCACACTCAGATCCCTTTAAGATAAGCCCATTCCTACTTTCGCCTTCTGAAATTTCGGCCTTACAATTTTGGAGGTCAGAAGTCTGGGATGGATGTCACTGGGGTAAAATCAAGCTGTTGGCAGGGTCCCATGCCTTCCAGAGGCTCTAGGGGAGAATCTGCTTCCTTGCCTCTTCCTGCTTCCAGGGGCTGCCTAAATTCCTTGACCTTTGACTGCTTCCAGCTGGTGAGGTTCTGCCTGCAGCCACAGGCCCAACAAGTGCTAACCCCACACTGGCCACTAGATGGTAGCAGAGGGTTTCTACCCATGGCCCCAGGGAGGAAGCACAGAGCTTCGGGCTTCAGCTGATGCAATTCCCCATGTGGCCACCGGGTGGCGATAGGACCCACATGCCTTGCCTTAGGTTCCCAGAAGCCAGGATTCTTTTGAATTGTTGGGGTGGGAGGATGGGGAGCAGGATGAGATGAAGATGAAGTGACTCTTGGCAGGCAGTGCAGACTCCTACCGTTATCCAGTACAAAGATCTGTCTTATGTGGGCTGGGCAGAGCACAGCTTCCTGTCTTGTGGGAATGCTTTCTCCTGCTCCTCTTCTCTATGGTCCTGTGTCTGACAGTGCTGGGCTGGGCTCATGGAGCAGGTTCTTCCCATCTTGTGCCCCAATGGGAAGGCTCCAAGGCAGTCTCAGGGCACCTCTGAAGAGCACGTGGTGATGCCAGATTCCCAGGGGCAGCACTGATTCTTAGGGAGACTTTACCAGGAGCCAGGCTCTGAGCTGTGAAAACACGACCCCACTGGATCTGTATGGTCCTCTGAAGTGGATGCTATGATTGCTCCCATTTTACAGAGGAGAAAATTGAGGCCAGGAGTGGTGAAGTACTAGGGTACCAGTTATTAATGTGGATTTTTTTCAATCGAGAAAAATTTTTTTTCAATGGAGACACATATGTTGATATATATGTGATTTGATATGTATGCTATTTTGTGGTATTGACAGCAAGCTTCAAAACTTCATATGTAGAATTTGCTGAAGGTGTTAACATTATAGATATTTTTATGCTTATAAATGTTGAATTTCATGCCAAAAAAGAGCATTTGTGAGAAGTTCTAATTCATTATTTTGAAGAAAAGTGCTGCTGAAAACTTCGGGAAGCTTATGGCGAACATGCTCCACTGAAGATACTTGTGAACGCTGGTTTAAATGTGATGATTTTGATGTGAAAGACAAAGAACGTCTAGGTCAACCAAAAAGTTTGAAAACCAACAATTACAAGCATTATTGGATGAAGATGCATGCCAAACTCAAAAACAACTTGCAGAAGGATTAAACATTGCTCAGCAAACAATTTCTGATTGTTTATAAGCAATGGGAAAGATTTTAAAGGAAGGAAAATGGGTGCCACATAAACTGAATGGAAGACAAATGGAAAACGGAAAAGTCATCAGTAAAATGTTGCTTCAACAGCATGAAAGACATTTTGCATTGAATTGTGACTGGCGATGAAAAGTTGATTTTGAGCATTCCAAATGCCCAAAATCATGGGTTGATCCAGATCAACCATCAACATCGACTGCAGGGCCAAATTGCTTTGGAAAGAAGACAATGCTCTGCATTTGGTGGGATCAGGAAGGTGTGGTGTATTATGAGCTGCTAAAACCAGGTGAAACCCTTAATACTGATCATTACTGACAACAAATAATCAATATGAACCACACTTTGATTGTGAAAGGACCAGAATGTGCCAGAAGACAAGGCAAAGTAATTTTGCTTCATGATAATGCACCACCAAAACCAGTTGAAGACATGTTAAAAGATCTTGCCTGGGAAGTATTAACCCACCTGCCATATTCACCAGACCTTGCTCCTTCAGATTACCACTTGTTCGAATCAATGGCACACACACTTTCTGAGCAGCACTTCAAAACATACAAAGAAGTAGAAAATTGGGTCTCTGAATGGTTTGTCTCAAAACAAGAAAAGTTCTATTGGGATGGTATCTGCAAATTACCAGAAAGGTAGGGAAATATGTAGCTAGCAATGGACATTACTTTAAATAAAGTACTTTTGATGTTTCTCTTGAAATTATTGTGTTTTCTTTGATTACAAAATCTGCCATTATTTTTTTAAATATATTTTATTGACTCTTTTACAGAGAGGAAGGGAGAGGGATAGAGAGTTAGAAACAGCAATAAGAGAGAAACATCGATTCATGAGCCTCCTGTACAAAGAGTGCCCGCAACCAAGGTACAAGGCTTTGACTGGAATCGAACCTGAGACCCTTAATCCACAGGCTGATGCTCTATCCACTGAGCCAATCTGGTTAGGGCAAAATTGGCCATTATTAACCGGTACACCTAGTAGGTGGTCGGAAGTCACAGCAGTCGGTGGGAGAACATGGGTCCGCCTGACTGCCGAGAAGGGACACTTGCTGGCAGCCCTTGGGTGCAGGAAGCCCCCTGCGAGGCAGGTCCCACACGGAGCCCCACCCCGCAGGATTAGTGGTGAGAGCTCCACACATCCCCTCCTCTCAATGGTTTTTCAGGAAAAGCTGAAGCCATAGGCCTGCATCGCCTGGTGACCCTGAGGCAGCATTCAATTAAGGCCAGATTACTCCAGCTCCCCTGTTCCTGGCCTGCTCCCAGCTCTAAACGCCAGTCCAGTGGTTTGGACCCTCTCATAGGGAGGGGTTCACATAGAAGCAGAGGCCCCTTTTATTCTAGGCACCGGCATGGGTTAGCCATACAATTCTATTCTTAAATCCTTGACTTCTGCAAAACCGGTTTGCTCAGTGGATAGAGCGTCAGCCTGCGGACTGAAAGGTCCTGGGTTCAATTCCAGTCAATGGCATGTACCTTGGTTGCGGGCACATCCCCAGTAGGGGGTGTGCAAGAGGCAGCTGATCGATGATTCTCTCTCATCGATGTTTCTAAGTCTCTATCCCTCTCTCTCTTCCTCTCTGTAAAAAATCAAAAAATATTTTTAAAAAATCCTTGACTTCTCTTCCTCTATCTCTCATCCCCTCTTCTCTTTTTCCTTTGAAACACAATTATTTGCAAGACTTGTCTCTATTCCTCTTCCCCATCCTCTAGTGTCCTGGCTGATCAGCTTTTGCTCCCACTTCTGCCCCAAAGA